AATTTCACTGTCACCTACGGTTATACATCCATTCTTGTTTGTTGTTAACAACGAATTCGAAAATTGGCTTTTTAGTGAAGTTGAATCATCTACTTTATTGTCTAATGTAAAATTATACATTTTAATTATTATATCAATAAATAGTTTAAAATATATGATTAATTTTTTATATATTAATAGTATTTATTTGAGTATATATATAAACACAAAGATTTATCCATTTTGTGACTCCATATAATATTAAAAGATTCGAGTACTTCACGCGTCGTAATACAGTACTGGACTTACTACAGGTGCCTAACTTATTAAAGCTCGGTCATATCATAATGGATGTTTATTTTCCAGATGTTATGTGGTTGAGGATTGTCTGAATAAATAATAATTTTTACATAACCTCAAAACAAATAACTACTGTGAACTCGGTTCGCAATTGACATCAGCAAAATAAAAAATTAGGTACGTGTCCTATAAATTTCTTCAAACAATAAATTCAATTAAGAACAATAAGGAACTTATGGAACTTTTATATTAAAATAACATATTTTTCACATCTTCCTTTAATTAACGCCAAAAACTGTTTTCATGAAAGTATGAGGCTATAACACCTCTAGACCAAATGCTACATTGTTCAGTGTAGATTTGTGACTGCAATGTTGTTTCAATAGTTACTTGTGAATTTTCAATGCCTCAGATATGACAATTTGGTTTGATGGTATATCTTGGAATTGAATAACGCGTTTCATCAATGAAGAAAATGAGATGTGAAGAAATTTAAAGAGAAACCATTTTTATAATAATTTTTTACAATTTTAACACATCATCAGTTGATAAATGATTCATATTGCAAAATGACATAATTTAAATTAAGTATACGATGTCTGGAATTTCTGTTTCAAATATATCACTGAAACAGTGGTACCAAATATAAATCACAAAATGGATGCTACGTTAATATTCAGTAAAATGTATCAGCCCATGAAAGTATGCAATATTTTACTGATATATTTCTCGCAATACTACAAAGAAATTCTAGAATATATTAGAATAAATATATATATATATTAGAATATATATAAATATAAAAAAATATCATTATATTAGAATTATTAGAATATACTATACATTCGATTAAAAATGATACATGTATAATAAATAGCGTAAAGTTTTTATATTTAAATATATGTTATTATTTCTAAAATAACATGGAATATTACAGTTCAACTAAATATTTAACCTAACACAGTACATGTTATGCCTTTTCTGAGTCGCTTTAGTAGACATACCTCTACCAATACACTGAATGAACCAAAACATTAAACCAAAGAAACTATATTAATATAGTCAATTTCTCACATCAAAATTAAATTAAAAATTAAATAAATAAATTAAATAAAAAATTAAATCAAAGAGACTATATTAATATAGTTAATTTTGCATATCACACAATTGTTTATTAGATTCATTTTCAGACGAATGAGCCATCGGAGATAATGCTCAAATTTTACATATTTCTGTATTACAAAAAAGATATTAAATAAGAATAAATTGTTTTGTTATATCTACTTTATCATTATTAACAACTCAAGTAATAGCAGATTAAATTTTGAAAGAATTTTTTCTCTTAATAGATGTAATCACAAGATCTTTACAGATAATTATAAAATTAGATACTAAATCGCTACAAATCGCTTATTAGATACAGATTCTTGTTAGTCCCTCTAAGAATACAAAAAATATACTGTTATTCTGTCAAACGTAACTAAATATTTATTAGGAAAAGTAAAACAAAAGAGTAGGTATCATTTTTAAATTAATACAACTTACCAGTTTTTTGCGGTACTACTGTTCCAATCAAACCTTTAGCCGATGGTAACATTCTAGCAGAATTTTTGATAGGCCGTTGATATTTTGGAAGCTTTGTTTCAGGCTTTTTTATATTACGCGGCTTGGATAAAATAGGTATATTACTTGTAGCGGCAGCTTTTTTAGTAGCTCTGCCAGTAAATAGATTCTTTTTCTGTTGCATCGGCGTTGTCTAAAACAGTCACAAAAGAAAAATTCATATATTTTGTAAATAAATATGCCATTAATTCGTACCTCTGTAATCTTTGCAGTGACGCTTAATTGAGGTTTTTTTGGCCACTAAATAAAAAAAACAATACAGAGATGTTTATAACTTAAAAAATTTTACCTTTGGTTTGGAAACAGTCCTAGGACTATCTAATGTATCGAATGCAGTAAGTGTTCGAGATGAGGCTAAATTTTGCGTACTTGATGATTTTGTTTGATCTGAAGTTTCGAAAATTGAATTGGGAGTTTGCTGATCAGTTCCTAATTAAAATCAAAAAATTATTTATATGTAGAGTAAATTCACATATTCTTATTTACCAGTAGACTGGTCTTTTTCTATAGATGAGGAAGTATCCATTTCGTGTAATTTTGAAGCTAAATTTAAAAACAATTAATATTTTCTTATATATATAACTAATATAAATACTTGTAAAACTAAAAGATTTAAAAAATATTGATTGTTGTTATATTTCAATTACAGTAGCTGGCTAAGATCAAAAAATATATTTATTGCATAATGAAGATTTCGAAAAAAAACCGATAAAACCGATAAAAATGGGGCACACCAACTTTAATTTTGTTTTTTATCATTCTATCTTTGTACTTCAGAGTTTATGGATTCTAAGAAGATTATTTACTTTCTTTAAATAATTTTAGTTTTGCATATAATATTACTCTTATTCGATAGTGTTGAATTTATGTTTCTCGTTAATTTCGGTAAGCTTAAGACCCAACCATTTTCCTGCTGTTCTCTACACTGAAACCTTAATAAAAGATAAACTGAGTTTTTTATTCTGATAATCTTTTATTGTCTAATTTTCTGTTAGGCATCAGAAACATAACAATGACTGTTGACAATTTCTACCCACTTTAATAAGATATAGCCTTTATATCTATTAGTCTTTATGACTTTCTAACGGGTACTGGTCACCTATTAATCTTCATGCTGCAGTGATATTTGACAGATCGAGTGTTGCACCCGAAACTTATTTTTGGGTTCTATTCTCCAATTACTCTACAATAGGTCTTTCACATTAAAAATTTTTTCACCAATGTCTTATGTTAATCCCAACCTAGCCGGTATTTCTTAACACTAAATCAAAGGCTCCATTTTCTTTTTTCACTTACATGTGGCCTAATTTCCCTAAAAGATTATGTCATAAGTAAATATAGAATTTCTTTCAATCTACCACTGTTCTGTATTAGTCCTATTGTTGCCAATATTTCTAAAAGGTTGCCATTCATGGTCTTTATTTTCTTTTCTTATCTACATTGAACCTAATTTTCCTAAAATGTGATTCCATAAATAATCTTAAGATTTCCTATACTCAACTTTATAGCTATATGTTAAATAGAAGACATCAGCAATAAAGATTAAATAACTATTTCCTAATTTATTGTAATATTTTAATAAAAAAAATTAAATTCCGGTGTTCGCTTTTATTTGCTACCATTAACATTACGTGAGAACCTTCACTATTTCCTCACTTGTAGCTTGTCTGTGCATTTAATGACAACTCATTTTTCGAGTTTGTTGACATATTTAAATATTTTGAGCTGATGTATAATCAAATCTTCAACACCTATGTCAAATACTTCATTCAAATCTCAATAGTATACCCAGAACCCTAGGTAAAATTTGTGTATTGGTGAAAAATCTGCTGTAGGCAACTCATTCACCTATTTTTTTCCATTAAAGGAATAACATCTGGGCTCTTAAAAAAAAAGTCATTCATATCTTAATTATAATAATTATAACCACAGTTCCGTTAGCGAACATTATCCTAACTTCTTTATCTGTAATTTCTATTAGCATTATACATTTCATCCGATAGAATTATTTTTCTCTCGAAATACCTTACATTCTGTAATAACCCCCTGACTTATATACATACATATCTTGATGACTTTTTTGTTTTGCGGAAAGGAGGAGTGGAAGGCCTACGCACCGGCTACAATCCGGGGCCCTGGAAAATGAGTGTCCGACTCGCACGGACTAAACCAACTCGCCCTCATTAGTTAGTATAACTTCAAGGTAGGGTCTCTATTAGTCATTTAAGACTTCCATCGGTGTGATCTGCGTCCAGGCCTCGCTACTATATCTTGAAGATGGGATTTATCTAATATTTAATCTTAAAATATATATATATATTTTGTGTCTACTGTTTACTAATATATCATATTAGCAGAAACATTAACAGTTATCATTAAAGAAATAAAAATCAACCAATAACTCTTATCATTCGCATTTTAATGTATAATTAAAAAAATAATTTAATTTGCTTTATATAATATTTTTTAAAAATAATTATCATGTGCCTTTTATTTTTCCATGCACAAATAAATCTTACACTCTGCTTTTTGTTATAAAAAGCACAAATAATTCTATAAACATTTTGGATGAAATTACAAAAATAAATACTTTACATGCAAAACGCGTTTTATATTTTCTTTTCAAAAATAAAAGTTATTTCTGATTTTTATATTTTTAAGTCAAAAATAACAGTTATTTGTGCGTTTAAAAAAAAAAGCAGAGTGTAAGAGTAATTTGTGCGTGAAAAAATAAAAGGCACATGAAAATTATTTTTGAAAAATATAATATAAAGCAAATTTAATTATATTTTGAGTTTTATTTTAAAATTAAGGATGAGACTTTTTAGAATGATAACTATATACTTAAATAGGAGTTTAGATAATTTTTTATTGGTGCTTTTTTTGTAAAATTTTTTGATATAACTGTTATTTATGCCTGCATATTAGTACAATTAGTTCATAAAATACTATAAATATTAATAAATAAAAAATGTTTTTTAACATCTGTAAAGTATTTATGCTCTGAGTGCACTGCACTTATTCCATTTTGTTTCAATTTTTTACTTTCAATCATTATATTTTCATACAAAAATCGCACACCGTTTCAAATGCATTTCAGTTGTGAGTTAATCGACAAACGTTGCGGATAGTGTGCGGAATTAGAAATTAAATAATCAAATAGTTTCGAATGCACTAAATAAATAGATTAATTGTTTCAGGAAGAACTTGAAACTAATATATAGTTTCAATCAATTTCAAATAGTTTTTATCTCATTAATAGGAGCGTCATCGAAAAGTACTTCTAGAAAGGAAAATTCTATCAGAAGCCTTAAAAGTGAGTTACTTTCACTACGTGATATATAGTGGATAAAGTGAAAGCACATACCTAAAGAAATTTATATGTACGAGTAATAATTTAAGTGATATTATATAAATTCTGTGAATTAATTTAAAATCCCTTCTATTCAATTCAATTTCTCTATTCTATAAATAGATGATTGCAGTTAATTTATTGATTATGTGTTTATATAGTAGTGTTATATTATTGCTTAACTACAAAGTAACCCCCAACAACTTGTGAATTAATTTTAAATTGTAGTGCAAAATTTAAAAGATGAGTTCAAAGTGTTGGCTGCGTACTTTGCCAGATAAGAGACCGACGATTCAATTAAAATAATAAAATTGTGTGTTTTCAATTAAATTATTAGTGCATAGTTTCCTTATTTAAATAAATATATGAATATTAACAACAATGACAAACACAATACAAATTTGTTGCAATATTAAATACAAAAACAAAGGCTTATAACGAAAACCATAGTATATATAATACTTATGATTATAATTATATATATATATTTAAAAAAACAAATAAATAGAACTGTATGCTGTAAGAGGTATAAGAAACATAATTACATGTGAACTATTTTATATATAAACTATGTAATGTATATTTACAAAGAATACATGAAAACTAAACAACTCAATTTATTGAGAAACTTTAATTACAACTAATTTAAACCGGATCTTAAATTCCGTTTTCTTTAGAATCGGTTCAATAATATAGGGGAAAAGTTTTTTAAATATAACATATACCTTTACCTATTAGATTAGATTAGGTTAGGCTGGAGTGGTGGCTTTGGCCCACTTGGGCACAAGTAAGGGCCCGTTATGATACTATGGATTAGTGTTGTTCATACGCAGACCAAAAGGAATCTTAAAAGACCCGCAGTGATCAGCGTACAAACAACCCTGACAGATTCCCTCATTCATTGTCCCAAAGTTTTTAAATCTTTTTCTAGACAACGATGCTCACAAATAGACACATTAGGTGGTGTGAATTTTCTCCTCATTCACAGAGTCACTGCCTCGTCAAAAGTCATTGTGGGGTAAACTCAATCTCATAGCATGTTTTCTTAGTACGCAGTGATCTGTAAGTACTAATACTATAGTGCTGAACAGCTTACGCTTTTGATCAGGTCGATCCTGCGATCCGACAGAACTTTGTTGAAATATGCTCAGATATTTAAGTTCAATTGCCAGCTTTATCGTGTCAAGTGGTATAAGAATCTTTATTTATTCAATTCATGCTTTGCGTCATTATCCTTTTCCGTCTTTATTTGTAAGAGTTTGCTATGCATTTTATATTGTGCATTTACATATAATTCTAATATTTGTTTCTCATTGTATTCAATGATGGTATTTCGATTCATTATGGCATTGTTGTATCCTAAACATCAGTTCTCTACTTTAGAAATATTCCTTTAAGAAACATTTATAAGCTAATTGGATAGAAGAGGCAACTCTCTCACCATTGAAACAAATCAACCTATTAGTTTGGATGTTCCTTAAATTACTGGTCGCATAATCAAGGATGCATTAAACTAGTGGTGTAATATGAATTTATATAATAACTCTTAAGTGAAAATATGAGACGAAACTAAATGGTTCAAAAGTCAAAGTAATGCTTATTATTTTAGCAGTTTCGATTTGATAAAACAACTTTCGGCAAAAAAGCGCAATATTATATTAAACAACGTATATAAAAAATTTTGTAATAACTGAATAAAACGCTTGTATATATGTGTGGAATCAGAAAGATGTACTCTGGAAGAGAAAAATCAGTGTTCATGACTTTATAAAACATATTTTCTTAAAAATTTCAAATGATTTTTGAACAGATTACAAATATATGACTTTTATATATTATTATTAAAAAGAAGGGATTGTGCACTGCGACCCAAAAGATTTATTGTGCCCCTTACTCGGGTTAGACTGTTTCTCCAAGTCCGATTTCTTTAATGAAAGGTAGTAAATCGGACACTCCCCAACCACATGGCATGCAGTTACTATCTCTTCTCTACAGTATCTGCAGTCTGAGTTGGATTGAATTCCTAACTTCGATAGGTGATTATTCAATCTACAGTGACCAGTCAATAATCCCGTAATAATTCCTAGGTTGCTTTTTGATTGTGCTATGCAATCTTTGAAACGTTTTAGGTGGTAAGTCCCTAACAGCATTTTCGATTGTGAGAGTCCTGGTAACCTTTTCCAATAGAGTTATCTTTCTCTTCCCTCTGCACCATTCATAAGAATAGATAGAGTTTCTTTGTCTAGACCACAGAATGGTTCTGGGCCTATCATTCATGAGGCTGCGCCTATTCTTGCAAGTTTGTCTGCCGTTACATTGCCTTGAATACCAGCATGTCCCGGAATCCATATTAGTTGCACTTGATTGTTCCCGCGAAGACTTTTATATATAAATAAATAAAAATCTTAGACACTAGCACGATAAATTTAAAGAGTTTAAAATAATAGAAAACATGTCATTAAACTTGTGAAATGTTAAAACCAATAGTAATATTGAAGACGCAATACCGATTTCTTGGGTACGCTATTTGATAACGAATTTCATCTCTTCTACACCATACAGATTATATAGGTTAGTTTTCGAGTCATTTTGTTACTACCAGTTGTTTTTATATTCAATGTAAATATTGCATTCAGTGGCGCAGACTTACTTCAACTTCGATATCTTGAGAATTAAGCTATATCTAGCACAAAAAAGAGTAGAAAAAACTGCTCAAAATTACTAACTCTACAATAATTCGTTCTTATATGTACGAATGTTCAATACCTTGAGAATTAAGCTATATCTACCACAAAGAATAGTAGGAAAAACTGCTCAAAATTTGTTCTTAAATGTAGGTGCTCGATAAATGAGAATCGAGTTATTTTCAACTACTTATATGTATATATTTCATTCGATGTTACTGGTTCCTTCTTACTTTTGTTATGTGTCTTTTAGTTCAGAATTTGTAGAGTGTGAATATTAGAGACTTACCAGAAGTAAAAATATTCACAGTTATATAAAATTAAAATTTATTGACCGAAGTGTAAGGTGTCAGTGCTGCACCTCTGCAGATGTAAAGCATTGTATTGTGCTTTTAAATAATATCAAATAGTTTATATTAAATTAATTAAATAGTATTAATTAAATAGTTTTTTACATCCTTTTTTAATACTTTTCAATATTTATAACTATATATATATTTTACCTTTAGAAGATTTCTTCTTCAAACCCTTTTGTTCATCACTGCCGGTACCACTTCGCAGTGTTGATGAACTCATATTGATTTATCAAAAATAAATAAATGACAAAACACTTCCAAAAATTTTAAAATTATTCAAAACTTAGTCTTGAATTCTTAATATTACTTTTATTAACGATAAATTTAAAACAAGTTAAACATTAAAAGCGTAATAATTCACCTTCTAAAAAATATATTAGAATGAAATAAAAATTATGAATTTGATTTCTTCAAATTATTTTAAGTATTTTAGTTAACTTGATTAAATTCAAGAAATTTTCTCTTCAAAAATTTCAAAGTACACTATACACATTTTATTTTTTGATATAGATAGATATAACAAATCAATTCTCCAGAAAGTTGAGAATGTTCTATATGCTACATATTCAATATATTCAGGGCCATAGAATCAACTAGTAGTAGTAAATATAATACAAAAGTAACAAGAAAAATGTTAAGCAGTCTTTTATCAATCTATATTTATACGTATATCCTTTTTTTAATATTTATACACACAATTCTTTGAAGGTATACTTTAGCAATAACCTGAAGTAAAGTTACTTCTTGAAAGCATGAAAAAGGAAAACAGTTTTTATGAAAGCAAAACATGAATAATTTCTAATCGTATTCTTAATCGTACTCTGAGGTCTCATAACATGTAATTCATGTGGATGTACCATGACAATTTGTAGATAAACTTTCTATTATTAAGTCACAGATACATCGATCTTCAAAATAAGTTATTTTAAATAACATCAATAGAATCAGCACTAATGCGCGTAACATTGATCTTGAGATTAATATGTCAAAAACAAAGGTTATGTGCAGCGGATATGGTCTATCTACAGATGCAGTTATAACTCAAGTATGTCAAAGAATCAAGAGAATCAAGTATGTCAAATCCGTAACTTACTTTGGTAGCATAGTGACAAATAAATGTGATGTATATGAAGCCTTCGTTTCTCGCACTCATTAAGCGAGGCACCCCTTTGCTAAACTGAACCCTGTATGGAAATCAAGTCAATTTAACACATTTTTACACATTTTTAACTCTAATGTTAAATCCGTCCTTTTCTATGGCTGTGAAACATGAAAAGCAACAAAATCATCACAATCCGGGCTCCAAGTTTATGCAAACCGATAAGAAGTATTTTGTGAATCTGGTGGCCCTATCGTATTTTAAATATCGACCTCTAGGCTTGCACGAAACAAAAACCTGTGACACAAAAAAGAAGGCAGAGTAAGTAGAACTAGATTTGACATACAATATGGCGACCTGACAGAAAATCGCGAAACCAATGCTTCGGTAAAATTCCCAACGTAGCAAATGCCCAAGAGCCCCACCTATCTGGAGACGAACAGTCAAAAGAGAGCTTCGTGCCGCTAATTACTATTGGAATGATATCACCATAAATATTCGAGATAAGATCGAAAGATCGAAACTAATAGATGTGTTAAATTTAAATAAAAAAGTATGAAACCCGGCTCTTAACATTTATGAACACATTTTCAACATGAAAACAAAAATTCAATCAAACAATGAAATACTAGCATAAGTCAATTACTGTAAATGAATAAATTCTGATAGTTTATAGTCAGACCTTTTGCATTGACATATACACATCACTTTATATATTTACAGTTTCACGACTGGATTACAATCAAAAGATTCATTTAAACATGAATTGGTTGTTGCTTCTTATTTCTATATCGGCAACTCTTAGTATAGCATTGGCCTGTAATCGTATACCACAGGGTACAACAGCAGCTAAATCACCTGTTGATGAAAATTATGTTGTTTCATTAGGAGGAAATCCAGACACATATATACCAGGACAAAAATATAATGGTGAGTAGATAATTTTGGCATACTAACTGTGACATTGGTTATATTTTACCATAATTATATCTTTTACAGTTTCACTTATATCATATAATGGACTAACATTTATCAGCTTCATGTTGGGTTTAGAAAACGAAAATGGCGAAACTGAAACTATGGATAATAAAGGTTCGTTTGAAATAATCGATTATGCTGAAACGCGATTTAGTCCTCGTTGCGCTAATTTGGTTGAAAACACTAATACAAATGTTAAAACTCGTATCGATGTTATCTGGACGGCACCTACTGGTAGTGGTAATGGTTGTATACTATTACGTGCAACGGTCACACAGCATCGTGATGTTTGGTTCATGGATGATGGATTTCTTACTAAGCGTATATGTGAAGAAGAGGTCGATGATATTGATAGTCAACCAAGCATTGTTCACCCATGTTGTGCCTGTGATGAAGCGAAATATGAAGTATATAATTAGTTATTTATTTGGTATATATGTGAATTGAAGGAATATTTATATTAGCTAACCTTTGAAGGTAAATGGTCTAGACATACACATCCAAAAGATTTTCCAGCAAATAGTTGGCGTACACGTTTCAGTGATATAATTGGTGCATCACATACGATTGATTATAGATTTTGGCAATATGGTGATTTAGCAAGTGAGGGTTTGCGAGAAGTTGCAGAGCATGGTTCAACCAGAACATTAGAAAGTGAACTTAAAGATCAAGTAGGCAAAAATCTTAATAAATGTGTATTTTAATTTACCGTTGATATATTGTAGAGTGATCAGATACGTACAATTATCAAAGCTCGTGGAATAGCATATCCAAATGTAACTGGTAAAACTTTTGCTGTCTTCCGCGTAGACTCTAAACATCATCTGATATCCTTGGTTTCAATGATTGACCCGTCTCCAGATTGGATTGTAGGCGTTTCTGGATTAGAACTTTGTTTACCTAATTGTTCATGGGTAGAAAATAAAATTCATAACCTTTATCCCTGGGATGCAGGCACTGATAGTGGACCTTCGTATATGGTGAGATTTCATTCTAAATAATATCATTTGTGCATTTATGGTATATGTTTTTGTAATCGTAGAAATGTTTAAAATAATGAAATTTCCTAATATTTTCCTAATAGTTATAATCATTTGAATGCAGATACAATCGTAGTTGTTCTATATTGTTACCTTGCATCAATAGTACCGTAATTTAAAATTTATGACTAATATTCGATTCACACAAGAGTTTTGTTTGTAATTGTAGCTGTCAGGGTTGGTAATTTGAGCTGTCAATTGTTATTGTTTTCAATGCAAAATGAAAATTTTTGACTGCTAAAATTACAAACAAAAGTCTCGTGTAAATCCAATATTACATTTGTCAGCTTTTCAAGAAATAATTTGATAAAAATAGAGACATATGTTTATCTCAATTCCAGTTACATGAAATAATTTTATTTTACATTTAAAACAGTCTGCTGATCAGCCGCAAATACCGCCTGATGTGGTTCGTCGCATTAAGTCAAATTTTCCTAATGATCCACGATCACCTTTTTATGATTCAACTGGTGCACCAATGAAACCTTTAGCGACATTACACCTTAACCGACGTAGACTGTACGAGAAAACTTGTGAAAATACTGAATGTAAGTCTATTCGTATATTATGCTTAGAAAACTTATATACAAATTCGATAATGAAACTCTTTTAGCTGAAAACGATGTGGCTGGTTGTGCTACATATCCGTGGGGGCGCTGGGATGAGTGTACAGCTAAATGTGGGCCGGGTAAACAATATCGTACAAGAGAATTTAAAAATGGAGCTTTAGCGCGACGTTTAAAATGTCGTAACAGTTTAAGAGAAGAACAAAACTGTGTAGGTCGCAAATGTGGTAACTTTAATGAGGAGGAAGCTGCTGCCGAAGAAGTAGAAGTTGGTTATCCAAACGGTGGACCTGAAAATCCGGAGTGTGCAATATCTGAATGGAGTGATTGGTCAACTTGTTCCGCTACTTGTGGAAAAGGTGTGATAACACGTACAAGAGCGTATCTAAATCCTAAAGCAAAGAAAAAGTGCCAAGTAATTTATTTACTTCATATTTTCTAGAACAAATACAAATACAAGTAATATATATTTTTTACAGAAAGTGAGCCGTGTTAAACTACAAGATACTCAAAAATGTGAAGGCATTGACTGCGGTGGAGACATTGGAAATGGTATACCAAATATTGACGAAAATAATGAAAATACTGATGCGGAAATGCAATTTGGAGATACTGAAGCCTTTAATGAAAATATGGACAGCAATTTACGTTTTCGTAATTTTCAAAGTTATAGTCAAAAACGCGAAGATTACATACCACCGGAATGTGGTGTTACGCCATGGTCAGATTTTTCTCCTTGCATGGGTCCTTGTGGTAGTACTGGTCACAGACAGCGTGAACGTAAAATTTGGAATAATGATGAAGTTTATGGTGTTAAACGTCCTAATAATTTTCGTGGCGATCCATGCAAACATATCAAACGCATTGAAACTGTCAACTGCACAATTCCAAGTTGCGATACAATTGTTCCCAACTACTGTTTTGAAGAATTACAGGTCAGCCACTGTCGTGATAGTGATGTTGCAAATTATTGGTATTACGACCATTTAAGTGATCAATGTGCATTATTTTGGGCAGATAAATGCGATAAGAACAATAACAAATTTACATCAAAGGAGACATGTGAAGAGACTTGTCAAAAACCTAGACATAAAGCACAGTTACTTAGTAACGAATTCAAATCCGAACAGAGACGCATTGATTGTGCCGTATCTGAATGGCATGCACATGCATGCAATGCCACATGTGGTGAAGGTGTACAAATTAAGACTCGTAAGGTGCTTCGTTCTCCTAAGTATGGCGGTAAACCTTGTCCGAAACATTTGGTGCATACAGATAAATGCTATCAACACTGTGACGACATTTACTCCATTGGAAACATTTACAGTATTTCTCATGACAAAAGACGTGGTAGCAGTCAGGCTCATGCTAAAGTTACAATTGAAAAAGATGAATGTCATTATTCCGCTTGGTCAGCCTGGACACCATGTACAGCCAGTTGTGGTGACAACTCGGTACGCCAAAAGACACGTACCCTTATGAATACTGATATGAGCTTCAAGTGTAAGGATCGCGTCCGCATAGAAAAATGTGTTATGATGCCTTGTCTGCTTAATAATAATGATGACAACGATAAATGGTAGAATGATAAAATATAACTTAGTATAGAAATAATGAATTTAGTTAATATTCTCAAATCATAATTAATAGAATTACTTAAATATGTCTTAACACAGCAATAAGTTTAATAATACTTATATGATTTATTTCTTATATTTCTATATTTCTAAATAATATTTCGGTATATAAAAATTTTATTATAAATATATATACTGGGTATATTCTCTTAACAACTAGCCAACAAACACCGTACAAAAAGCAATGTATGTGGCTTGGTCGTAGCTAGAAATCGAGCCAGGGGGTCATAAGAAACTAATTTTGAATAAATAGGTATTTGAATAAATATTTTGTAATAATAAACGAAGAGAAAAAAACAAAAAAGCAAGAATATTCCAAAGCAATAATCAATAAAGTTTCGGTCAATATCTATCTACATACATATATCTATAAGACCTGTTTTCAATTGCTTCGTGAAACTCACTGGATAATCACACGCCCGTAGCTTTGCTATCGATCACACATATAAGGGATATACATTTTTGGTATTCTTGGTTCAAAGTTGAAATCCCATTTCAGCAATCTAATGCAAATAGGATAGTAAGTATTATATGTGTGTCTTCACAATAACTTTATTAAAATTCAAATTCAGTTTTCATTACAACAAAAGTCATGTCATTCTTAATTGTAGGGTTGCCAAAACTTTCACTTTTAAGATTGAATCTAAAATGGTGGTAATTAGAGTCTAAATCAATCAATAGGGTTTCTGGTAGGGTAGACGGAACAATTGCCGCATTACGCTTTTCAGATTGAGGGGCTTGTAATTATTCTACCTGAGTTAGTGGCGCAATTTCAGATACTTTATTTGATGATTGAGCTGTAACTGAAGTCGAAACAATATTTTCGTTAGTTACTTCGACCAATATGGAGTCGCGGTACATCGTTAGATGTTGTTTCGTAAAGTCCAATGTAAGTGTGTCTGACGATGATTCATTTTCTTGATCTTCTCGATTACGAATTTGGTTGGCACGAGCACAAATGAGTTTGCCATTTTGTAAGCGAACAATGAAAATGACATTACCTATGCGTTCGATTAAACCAGCGTACCGGATATTTCTTTTTAGTGAAACTTCAGCTAGCGATATACTGTCTTCATTTTGCTTATTCAGAAATTGAAAGAAATGTCATTTGTAATTCTTATTTATAGAGTTGCCAATAGAAAAGATAACAAAATAAGAGAGAAGGTTATAGCTAGACTTCGGCTAAATTAGATTAAGTATAGGCTCAATATATCGTTGTAAGACGTTAGTTATAGTTTAAAATCAAAATAAATATGGCAAATTCAAAAGTCAATATAAATAATTCAATAATAACCAAAATATAAAATAAAGGAAAAAAAGATAAAATAATTTTGTATATATGTAAATACATAATTAGTAAGAAAAGAGGCAATGATCTCTATTTATAGAGAAAGATAGTTTTGTAGTTTCAAATGCGTTGAACTTTC